ACGAAATTTCTTGTTGTCTTGAAAGAAATCCTTTGGTTTCGGACAAGAATCTCCCTGAAAGTAAGCAGGATAAAATTATCGTGGTCAGCAGTCATGATAAAAAACAAAAACAAAACAAACAAAAAAAAAAACCAATGGGACCGGAGGGTCAGGCTGAAAAACAAGGAACGAAAAGGGGAAGAGAATTTAGGTTTCCATAGAAACCATCCATGGCGAGATTTGGAAATCTAAAGACTTAGAAATACAAATTTATACTTAATTAGGTGGGAAGGTAACCCCCACAGTGAGAGTGGGAAATAATCCGGAATCTCATTAACAGCGCACTTTTGTGACTGGTGCTGAGCGATTTCGTCATCCTTTCAATCAATGACATGCAAAATCAAAAGAGCCCTTGAGCAATTACGATTTATTTGCATGAATTACAGTTTTCACGCGTTTGGCGTCTTGTTTACTTTGAGCTCACGTTACCTTTTTGTGATGTGTACCTTTTCCTGATTTTCTTTGCCTGAATCAAAAAGCAGCCTTAATATGTTACTTTTCCGTTTGACTGAAAAATTAAACAAGTCTACCTGACACACATCACAACAACGGTCATTCTCAATAAGTCCTTTATTATTAAAGCACGTTAAGTTGCATTCTGTGTTCAAAATCATAATTTCAAACCTCATAAAATTAATAATTTCCTTCTTATGTTTTCTAATCAATGCCTTAATGCGTTGTTAATCTTACTGCGCGATTTTAGGGAATGAAATGACCAAAACTTCCCACCTTGCATCCTGATGAGTATAGCGGGTTCTTATTGTTGGCTTCTGTAAGTGCCTAGAAAATAAAATTCCACGGGTGATTTGTCATGCATGCTGAATTTGAAATGAAGTTATTACGAATATTATTTTTATTTTCATGCGTAGTTTTTACATGTAATCGATCAGAATATGTGGCTTTTTAGAAATCTGAAGTTTGAAGATTCCATCTCCTATTTTATTCTACATCCTCGTCCTCACGAATTTACTTTTTGCAATTTTTGAATTTGGGGGAATCTTTCTAACAAAAGCATATGATCATTGTTAGGAACTCAAGTGTAGCAGCAACAAATTTTCAAAAATAGTCTAAAGGTCACCTAGATTTTATAAACAAACTTTGAAATTAGTCCGCAACAACTAATCATCGTTTTCGTGATAAGCAACCCTTTCCTGAGAATTTACTTCCGCTTTTATTTTAATTAATGCAGATCTTTAAAGCTCTTCTTTCCATAGATCTCGAGAACCGGGCCAGCGGGAAAGAACGTATTGATTTTGACACGAAAAAAGTAATAAGGCGAGTTCTCGAGAACCGAACCTGTTCGGTTTGAAATCGTGTCTCATATGAAAGGCCCTAGACTGCCTTGGAGACATCTACGGAATTCGGAGACTTGTCTCTCTCAATATCTAATAATTGTTCTGGTTAATAACTAGTTTTGAACTAGATCCGCTTTTGTCAATAAATACTCAATAAAGCCCGTGGCCCTATTTGAAAGTTCCTTGAAAAGAAAATACCGATTGAAACGATCAAGCCTCGACACGAGATTAAAAACTCAGTCAAAAACCCACTCACCAAGAATACGATTCCAATAACTGATTGCTTTCAACTGCATATCCGTGTTTTCTCGCGGTGTCTAGGTGAGCTTCGATTGGTAAGCTTCGAGCAGTACAGAAACAATAAAATTCCTTCTTAGTTCGATGGCAGTCGGAAATATCCTCAACGACTGTTCAGATCGGTCTTAAGGTAAGTGCATACGTGTACAAAGGAAATAAACAAACTGGTAACATGAAAATGTTTCTCAAAAAACACGTTCGTTTCAGGTAAAGTGATAACTGAAAAGTTCTAACTTTACAAACTTTACATTAGCCTCACTTAGGAAATTGTCGTCGATTTTGAATTCGGATATTTAACTAGCCCAAGTGTTATTTTTTTATCAACCATCGCATTCTTCCATAGTCGTCGGCAAAATATAGAAAGAGTTGGGAGACAATGGAACAATGAAATGAAAGTTGATCATGACACATGCATGATTTGCAACTATACATAAGAGAATTTGCATGTGGACTTTTTACTTTGCAGGAACAGACTTTACAAATTTCTAGAAAGGAGTTTTGCAGAGGAAGAGGGTTTTGCGGCGGAAAGGAAAGTGTAGATGACATGTTTAACAATTATTTGCCTTTATTCAACAATATTCACTTCGCCTCTCGGCAATTATTTGTTAATTAGTATGTTTGCTCAGGTGCTGTCGAATTGTTTCGTAAATTCTGTAAATGAAGAGACCGATTGCGCATATTTTGTTTCAATTGTGGTGAATACTCGTATCAAGATAAGTAAGCAGTTTTAACAGGTTTATTTGATTCGATCATGTCTTTCTTTTGAAATGTGTTCTACTGACCAAATTCAATAGCGTCGTCTGTGCTCTTAAGAATTGAATTTTCCTCTATAGCGTTTATCACTTTCTCGAAAACAATGACAAAATGTAAGGCAGCCATTTTGAAATTTAGCGCTCTCGCTATAACCACCTCGTGAGGGGTGATTCTATATAGCGAGATATGGCGCAATCCCCAACCAATCAGTCCGAGCACATTTCTATAATCCCTTGAACAATTATACTGAAAAGTGATGTCAATGCGTTAACGAAAAAAAATCATACTCCACCGATGGGTAAATATTTTTGAAACAATGAGTTGGCTATCAGCATAGAGTTTGAGGAAAGTAGTCTCACGCAATGGCGATTTCCTTGAAGCTCAAGTTCTAAGATCTCGTTTCGTATCAAACATCTTTAACCAAAATTACTCGAACGGTAAACAATGTCAAGAATCCAACAGTAGCTGTTTGCTCTTCAGTCGTTACTGCAAATATGTTCATTTTCAGTTAATGCGTAAAGGATACTGAAAGGACAAAATACAAAAACCACAAGCGAATCTTAAGGAAACATTTTGACGGTTGTTCTTCTTTTCGACGTAGTTCTAATTTAGTCTACTTTACCAGACAGTTTGTCGTTCAATTGTTTCATCATTCACTCGACTTCGAATAGTTCCAAGGGAAGGGAACCAAAACAAATATTTAATGATAGCAATTTCACTCGAATGACGCATATTTTAGTGTTTTGAGTGGGAAAAAATTCAGCTAATGGCACTCAAAATTGTGACCAAAATCGATCCTCTTGCGCATGCTAGACTAGCAGGAGACTGGCAAGGCAAGGGAAAAGAGCCGGCTAATATGCTAGTTTGTTTTTAATAAAATGATCTCAATATGGGTGGCCACCTGAAATTTTTGTTACTTACTCTTAAAAATTACTTTAAAGGAAGGGATAAGCTATTTTTCATTAAAACTTCACCTGAAAAAAAAGACAAATTCATTTTGAACCATTTTAGTTGCGGCTGCGAGTGATCAGTAAAAGTTAGCTACTAAATACAATAATTGTACAGTTACCAAAGTCGGTTTCTGATAGTTCGAAGCGGAATAGTTTTCATTAGCTTTACAGATCTTTTAAAAAATAAAAAAGCGTACGATCCATCCTATTCGACTCCATTTCAGTGATAATCAATTGGTGTTCTTTCCTCAACAATTTTCAGACATGCATACTATTTGAAAAATCATCGGTTGATTATCAAGCTGTTTAAGTGCTGGCAAATCTGTTATTAAACTCAATTGTGTCAAACTCTGACATTATCTGTCAGGAGATAAATGTTATGAGCTTTTGGCGCACCGTGGGTCGATCACGAGATGGTCACGAATAGAAACTCTCAGTGACAGTGCTTAATGACTGATTTAGTGTCAAGTGACCCACTTTTTTGTCTGTTTGTTTGACTGCCTTATTATGTGAAATTCTTGTAGAACTTGTGAACATATGATACTCAATTTTGTCCAATTTTCAAAATGGCCCTCATGGTTCCATCGGAATATACTAAATACCTTAACAGAATAAAGTTGCAACTTTTAGCAATGCTGAGGACTGGGACCAATGGACCTGCTCTGGGGCAATGAGCATGCTAGAATTTACGCATACGCAGAACTGAGAAACTGTGTACAAACTAAAGGATTGTGGCATTGAAGTTTTTTTTAGTCGAAACTGCTCATAAAAGAAACGCGAAAACGGTTAAGAACTCAAGAATACACTCAGTTCTTGGAGATCTCAGTCTTTATTGAAGAGTCTTTCAAAGATTACATTCTCATTTCCTAAGTCTAGTTTACAGAATCAATGCTTGTGTGCTGAGAGTTGTTTTCTGTCGTTTTGAAGACCCTTTGGTGCGCGCCTTACAAATGGGCACCAAACCACCACTGGGTGGTGGAAAGATCCCCCGCTGTGCAACGGAACTTGGGGTTGATGGTATGATAATAACCAAAGTTATCTTCACTTGACACCGAGCCGGACCTCGCGTTGAAGTTACAGCCGGATGAACTGCTGTCTGTGTGCAAGAAGAAGCTTTTAACCCCTTGCCAGAAGCGTACGGTGAGTTGCAAACCAATGTGCCCACGGATATTCGCGAACTCCACCTTCCTGCAGTGACCAGACCCAATAAAGTCGACAATATTAAAGTCCTTGAAGTTACCGCGGATATAGTCTGTAAAATCGATGCCATGGGTCGGGTAGCTGCAAGTTGCTCGCCAGTGAGTGGAATGGGCTTGTAGGGACCTCATTCGAGTCAGACTCAGGCGGTACATATTCCAGATAGGGGAATTCTCGTTGACAGGAGCGTTTTCCCTTAAGGAATTTCTCCGGAAGGCAGACCAGGCACGATTTTTATTAGCCCAGGACATCACCAGGGTCCATGCAAAACCAGGCTCGGACTTGAAGTCACAGTATGCTGGGAAACTGTTGCTGGAAGAGTCGTAGAGGCGGTAAATTCCACAGGCGGAGGCGCCCTTCAGCAAATAATCAAGGCAGGAGGTGGGACGAAATTTCTCGTTGCCTTGTAAGTTATCTTTTGCTTTAGGACAAGAATCTCCCTGAAAGTCAGCGGAATAAAACTAGCGTGGTCAGCAGTCATGAAAAAAAAAACCAATGGGATTGAAGGGTCGGGCTGAAAAACAACTTACGAAGGGGGAGAGCGAACGAAGGTTTCCATAGAGACCATCCATGGCGAGATTAGGAAATCTTAAGACTTAGAAATGCAAATTAATACTAAATTAGGTGGGAAGGCATGTTAAAAGTTTTAGTTTCCACTCCTTAACCCTCAGTGAGAATGGAAAATAATCCGGAACTCTCATTAACAGCGCACTTTTTTGACTGGTGCTGAACGATTGCGTCATCCTTTCAATCAATGAGATGCAAAATCAAAGATCTCTTCAGCAAATCCCGACTTACTCGCATGAATTACGGTTTTCACGCGTTTGAGGCCTTGTTTACTTTGGGCTCACGTTGCCTTCTTCTGATGTGTACCTTGTCCTGATTTTCTTTGCCTGAATCAGGAAGCAGGCTTAATATGTTACTTTTCCGTTTGACTGAAAAAATTAATCAAGTTTACCTGACACACAACACAACTCCGGTCATTCTCAGTTAGTCCTTAACAGCGGAGAAAGTGGGATTTTTTTGGGTTTTTCTTTCGTTCGCAGGTTAGTAAACCAAACTGAATGAATCTTAAATTGGATTAACTATTAAAGCATTCTATGCTCCAAATCAGAATTTCAAACTTCATAAAATTAACAATTTTCATTCTTTTATTTTCTAATCAATGCCTTAATGCATTGTGATCTTTGCTGCGCGATTTTAGGGAAGGAAATGACTAAATCTTCCTACCTTGCATCCTGACGAATGTAGCGGGTTCTTGTTGTTTGCTTCTGTAAGTGCCTAGAAAACAAAATACCGCGGGTAATCAACCATATATACCAAATTCGTCATGAAGTCCACACAGATTAAATTTTCC